CATAGCTAGCAATCCAAAACAGTCCAGGGGAGCCTGAGCGGTGGGTGTTGCCTTCTGACACACTTCCGGTGATGTCAGCGGGTGTGGCATATGCAAATAAGTTATGCAAATAAATTATGCTAATGAGCTCCTGATCCTCTTTTTCTACGAAATGACTCCTGGTTATACGCCTTGCACCAATCAATAAAGAAGCTACAACAAAGAGGACAGGTGTCTCCACTGCTGAGGCAGCTGTTACAGACATGGAGGAGGAGGAAGAAGAAGAGGAGGAGGACGAGGAGGAGATTGGATTTATACCCCACCCTTCACTCGGAGTCTCAGAGCAGCTTACAAACTCCTTTCCCTTCCCCTCCCCACAACAGACACCCTGTGAGGTAGGTGGGGCTGAGAGAGCTCTTGACAGAAACTGCTATTTTCCAAGAACAGCTCTGACAGAACTACGGCTTGCCCAAGGTCATCCATCAGCTGTGAGTGGAGGTGTGGGGAATCAAACCCGGTTCTCCCAGATCAGAGTCCGCGGCACTTAGCCACTACACCATCTGGCTCTCAAACTGGAGCCCCTTCAGTAGAAAAAAAAAGGAGAAGTGGTAGTGAATGCTGACCCCAAAATTTAGGATAGGAAAACAGGTTGGGGTTGACCACCTAGCCAACTGACAGAAGAACACAGGAACGGCCCAACATTGTCCATAGAGGGCAACTGGTAACAGAATGGACCACAAATAAGGTTGCTGGCTCCAGGTAGGGAAATACCTGGAGATTTTGAGGGCGGGGCCTGGGGAGGGTGGGGTTTGGGGAGGGGAGGGACCTCAGCAGGGTATAATGTTACACAGTCCATCCTCCAAAGCAGCCGTTTTCTCCAGGGGAGCTGATCATGGTTGTCTGGAAACCAATCGTAATAGTGGGGGGGGGGGTCTCCAGGGGCCCCCTGGGGCTTGGCAACCCGACCCAGCCCCATTTCCTCACGGGACTAAATAAGGGGAAGGAGGAACTACCACCGTTGCACTGGGGAATGGGTTCAAAGATGAGTTGCTCGTGAAAAGTTGCTTCAAGGAAAGTGAAGGGATTTGAAGGTTCTCCCTCAGGGGGACAAAGAAGAAAAAAGGGGAAAAAACTGAACCTAAACCTAGAATTCAGAACCAAAAAAGGTAAGTTAGGAATAGAAAAGGGCCAACTCTAAAAATCATCATAAAATATACAAAAATATATATGTGTGTTTATTCAACATAAGTTAAAATAACAAACAAGGGCCCATTCATACCTCATATAAAACTATAAAACATACAAGGGCTAATAAGATAGACCTAATAAGATAGACCTAACGCGTTTCGGCCTTTACAGGCCTTCCTCAGAGGTCTAATACATACAGAACATATTGGCTGATGTGCAAAAATACATACAATCCTACATATACAAAATATGGAATAAAGACCAGAAATCAATTGTTCCAAAGTTTAACCACTGGGCAAGGAAAAGAAATACAGAAATACAAATGAAGCCTCCAGTGAAATCACATGTCCAGTGGTACTTCTCTCTGGTCAATTGTATATTCATCTGAGGTTGTATTATATTTTTGTATATTTTATGATAAGATTTTTAGAGTTGGCCCTTCTCTCCCTCAGGGGGAACTTCTGGAGAGCTTGCTGTGAGGGAACCCAAAAGAGTTTAAGGCCTCGGGGGGTGGGGGTGGCTTTTTCTCCGGAAGGGTCCACACCTTCCTGGTCACCGCCGTTCCAGACAGGAGGAAAGCAAACGAGTTCTCCGTGAAGATTCGTTTCGGAGGCCGGCCACGTTGGGTCTTCGGTAGAACAGTTACATTCAAGTCCAGCAGCAAGGTCGGGAGTCCAGTGTTCCCTGTAAGCTGAGTCAGTGTGAGCTAGCTCACGGTTTCTTAGCCTCCGGCTCATATTTTTGCCTCAGCTCGGGAAGGAGGGTTCCGGAGCAAATTAAATTTGCGCAGCAGCCAAATCGCTTGCTCACAACTTTAATGCCAAGTCGCTCGCAAAGTAGAATCTTTGCTCACAAGACTCCACAGCTTAGAGGGAGCATTGGTAGGGACCAAGGAGAGTTTCAGGACGTAAGCTTTCGCGAGTCAACGTTTCCTTCGTCAGGCACAATGGAAACGGAGACACCCTGGAACTGGTTGGGCTGTAAAGTGCCACTGGACTCAGATCGAATGTCTCCAGTATATCCTTCATCTGTCAACATCTTCCTTCTTCCTGTCCTTCTCCAATATAGGACTTTTGGGAACCCCTGTATCTGAAGGCTGGCTTGCTTTCAAAAATGTGTGTGTGGGGTGGGGGTCCCCACGACCTAGTAATCTCCCACCCCCTTAAGTGCCATCTCCGCCTTCTTTTACCCATGAAGATATGTTTAGCCTGGGAAAGAGAAGGCTTAGAGGGGACACGATTGCAGTCTTCAAGTATTTGAAGGGCTGTCGTGTAGAAGATGGAGCAGATCTATTCTCTCTTGCTCCGGATTGCAAGACTAGATCTAATGGGCGGAAATTATAAGGGAGTCATCGTTACCGGCTAAATATCAGGAGAAACTTCCTAACTGTGAAAGTGGTTGAGCAGTGGAACAGTCTGCCTCGGGAGGTGGTGGATGTTCCTTCGCTGGACGTTTTCAAGTGGAGGCTGGACGACCATCTTTCAGCTATGTTGTAGGTATGTAGGGCTCTCTTTCAGCTATGCTCCTGCAGAGTGCAGGGGGTTGGACTAGATGACCTGTAAGGTCCCTTCCCACTCTAACATTCTATGATTCTATGAGATAGATTCGGGTGGGTAGCTGTGTAAGTCTGAAGCGGAAGACCAAAGGTGGAGTCCAGGGGCACCCTGAAGACCCAACAAACCTTATACCCAGAATTAAACTTTGTTGGTCTCAAGGGTGCCGCTGGGACTTAAAACTTTGTTCTTTTGCCCATATTTGTTTAGCTCAGAACTGGTGGGAGAAGGACCCCGTGCTTCGGGGCAGGGAGAAGACGGCCTGCTATTTGCATAAGATAGGGACTTAACTGGCGGGGCTATTGATCCCGATTGATAAGTGGTGCCTGCTGCCAAAAGATGAGTGATACTAATCCATCAGCTTGGTGCCATAGGCCTCTGCCTCTGCAGATTACTAAGCTAGACAGGTCTATTCACAGAGGCTTTGGCTTGGAGAGGAAATAGCCACCAACCGGATTTGAATGTTCTGTTAAGAATAGGAGACAAGCTTGCAGAGGCGACTTAGAGGGTTGGGATGGGATGTGAGAGACTCAGTTCAGATTCCCTCTCGGCCATGAAACGGAAACGGGGTGACCTCAGGCTTTTCTGTCTCGGCCTCATCCTACCTCGCAGGGCTGTCGGGAAGCGGTTAAGCGCCATGCAGTCCTGAGCGCCGCAGCGATAAGGAAAAAAGCGTGAATTCTGATACCAAAAAAAGAGGTGGAACTCTCACAGCATCCCTTTAGAAAGGGCCTAAAGGTAGGTTGGGGACAGACAAAAGGAAATACTACTTAATGTAGGTAAAGGTAAAGGTTCCCTTGCTCAAAAGCCAGTCGAATCTGACTCTAGGGTTGCGGTGCTCATCTCCGTTTCAAAGCTGAAGAGCCAGCGCTGTCCGAAGACGTTTCCGTGGTCATGTGGCCGGCATGACTAAACACCAAGGCGCACGGAACGCTGTTCCTTTCCCAGCGAAGTGGTACCTATTTATCTACTTGCAATTTCTTGCTTTCAAACTGCTAGGTTGGCAGGAGCTGGAACTAGAGATGGGAGCTCACTCCATCATGCGGCACCCGGGTCTCGAACTGCTGAACTACTGACCTTCCACAGCCTGTAGTTCAGCGTCTTAACCACTTGAGCCACCTCAGCTTCTTACTTTATGCAGAGAGTCATTCAAATGTGGGATTCGCTGCCAGAGGATGCAGTGACGGCCACAGGAATAAACAGCTTTGGAAGGGGATTAGATAGATTCATGGAGGACAGGTCTATCAGTGGCTACTAGCCATGGTGGCTGAGGGGAACCTTCACATTCAGAGGCACTAATCCTCTGGATCCCAGAGCCAGGAAGCAACCTCAGGAAGGCCTTGGCCTCTATGCCCTGTTGTTGGCCATCCAGAGGAATTGGTTAGCCACTGTGTGAGACAGGATGCTGGACTGGATGAACCCTCACTGGTCAGATCCAGCAGGGCTCTTCTGATGTTCTTATGAATTGAGGGGAGGGGTGTTTGAGGCTGAAGTAGAGGGGTTGGCTGAGGCCGTCTGAGACCTGAACCCACGATTGCTTTTGCACTGCTCTGCCTTGTTTTCATTCATAGACTGAATCCGCCTGAATCGATCCATGCAAATGTCTGTCTGGCGCCCTTACGCCATCCATTTTAGCAACCGCCCCCAGCAGTTAAGGTGGTGGAGCCGGGAACTTGTTCAAGCGATTTACCACCCTTTGGAAGTCCCTGTTAAGTGCTCTGGATTTCAAACAGCGTCATAGAGATGGGTTCAGTACTCTCAGGAAGACGATGAAACTGGTTGAGGCTTCCTTACCTGCCAACCCCTTGGGGGGCTGAATGCCCCCTTGCTCAGACCCTCTAGGGTTGTC